CTAGGTTCATATGCAACTTAAACTCGATTTGAACAATTTTTTTAGAGAGAAAAACTTCACCAGCTTGAGATTTTATGATTTCCATAAGATCGAAGGATTTCTCAAAGTTTCGAGAAATCGATCCAAACATCGCCCTTTGAGTTTAGATTTACTTTTGGAGATTTTTTAGGCTCATTAGAGGGGCCTTTTAGAAGATATGGATATTAGAAAACATCTCAGAGATAGAAGTTTGAAGATCGAGCAATCAAGTTTAGTGAAAAAATTTTGTTTTTTAGACTTGCTTGGATTAATTTGAGATGTCTTCTTTGGGTTCTAATAGAAGTAGTCATCCGGGTTGAAAATACGACTACAACCCGAATCTTTTTGATAAAAATTGCATAAGACGCAATTATTGTAAGAAGAATACAAATGGGGGTATAAAACGGTTCAAGAAACATCTTGCTAGTATCAGGGGGGATGTTGCCTCATGTAATAGAGTTCCTAACACGATTAGGTAGGAAATAAAAAATGATATAAATATAGTAAAAAAGACAAAAGAGGAAAAGAGAGACATGCATAACAGAGCTTAAGTCTAGGGTTCGTGTTAATTATGATGGTGATGATGATGATAGTGATGAGGAGGGGTGTTATGAGGTGGAGCAGCTTGCTATATCCTAGACTAGAGGGAAAGGAAAAGGAGTTGCAATAGGTTATTGTTCGGTTTTGTGGCCTTTATGCGCCTAGAGAGCCTACAAATATGATATTTTATATTGGAGTATGCACTTCAATGGGAGTATGTGTGTTAACTGAAAGGATTGGGCGGTTTATGGCCCTGAGCACGTCCAAAACCCTTATCACGGGGCATGTGGCATTACTGAAAAGGGTTTACAGGGGTCATCCCTTATTGAGGTCGAAGAGATATCCAAGGATGATGTTTGTAGGGCAAGAGAACTATGTAGTCTCTTGTGTGCGGTTGAAGGCCCATGAGAGCAAAGGCCAAAGCTTCAACAAACTTCTGCACGACATGTACATATGACAACCGCATTATTAGAACGCAGTCCTATAGAAGGACAGGTGCACATGTGCATAGAGAGCCTCCTTTGCACTGTGGTGACAAGTGATTAACTTGTTCTTAAAGAGGAGAACTGAAATCCACATTTCAGGATCATGGTCCCAATTGTAATTGTCCAACTTTGATAAGCAAATCATGAGCCCCTGAAATGAGATTGTGGGTCATGGGTCTTTGTTTGGTTGGATAAGAGAACAGTAGTGGATTGTGGTTTCTGGAGCGAGTGGACTGCCCTTATTGTAGCTATTTTTGACCCATTAGTACCAGTACACTCCTAATATATATTTTTTTGTATTATAAATGTTTTTATAATTTCAAATATTCTTTTCAGAATTTTTAGTTATTATTTTTGTTGTAATTCTCATCAAAAGGGTATATTTCTGAAATTTTTCAAACCTTCATATAGCACATGTGAGGACCAAGGATCCAGCCCCCACATGTGTGCGCCACCCATGTGGGGCCCACATGACCTCCTCGGGTGGAGCGCCACTTTTTAAGCATACATGCCATTTTTTTTAAACACAAAGAAAAAAAAGGTCGCACACCATACTTTTGAGAAGTGGGGGGCACACGCCCCATTCTTTTGATATTGCTTAAAATTTAAATTAGATAAAGATGATGGCTCATTTGTGGGATAGATGGCTCAGATTAAATCTCTCACCCCACAGATTTCCTAATTATCCTAAAGGTCAAGCTGGAAATTGGATAAAGCATAAATTGGAATCCTATTCAAATTATGAGATAGATTTCATTTTATTTAAATACCTATTTGAACCACTTTCAATTATGGACAAGATCTTTCTCTCTCACGCCTCAAGTTTTCTCTCTCTCCATCACATCAAAGATTCTCCACTCTGTCATGCACCTATTCTTCTTCAAGACACCCTCTCACCCCATAGAGAATCACATGATCCCTCCTCTTGCACAAAAGAGAGTCACATCACCCTCTCTTTTCTCTTATTTTAAGTGACTTCTATCAAAATAAAATAAAAAGAGAAAGGTGGGAATTTCAAACTCTAAGTGAGGTTTGCTGATTTTTTAAGAGAAAGAGAGGTACCACCAATGATTTAAAAAGTGGACCGCCCAGCGCCTAGACGGTCCAGAAGGCCTCGGCGCATCGCCCAAGCCTAGGCGGCCAAACTGGGCGGTGGTCCCTGGGCGGCCGCCTAGGCGGTACGGAATCCGCCTAGGCGGCCACACAAAGGCAAAAAACTTGTTTTTTTTTTTTTTTTTTCAAAGATATAAAAGTTAAGAATGATGGATTCCAAAGAGGAAATTATACAATATTTGAGTTCAAAGAAGCACAATAAAAAGGGTAGAGCAGCCAAGACTCCTAGGGCCTCATCTGCACAGACTGCACATACTAGTAAGAGGTACGTAGAAGAAGAAGAGGAGGAAGAGGCAGATTCAGAATAAACAGAGGAAGACGAGCGTTATATTGAAGAGGGAGATGACTCTGATGATGATGGTCTCGACTCTGATGCATATGATGAGGCTTGCCCTATTGATATTCCTTCTGATGATGATGACTGAAGACTCTTGCCTCTTGGTGCTGACTGCTGAGTGCTGAGTGTTGAGTTTGTTGACTGTTGTGTTGAGTCTTGAGTGTTGACTTTTGTTAGACTGTATATTTTCTAAATTTATGCATATTTCTGTTGTGTTGAGTGTTGACTTTTATATCCTACACTTGTATGGTTTTACAGTTTACTGATTTAACAATATGGATTATCAAAATTCTTTTCTCGACTTCTATCTTCTTCTTTCTTTTTTTTTCAACTGGGCGCCCGCCTAGCGCTTTTTGATACACTGGGTACCACTAGCCAAGAGAGAAAAAAAAACCCTAAAGCCTTACCCTAGTTTGTTTATAGAGGGTTTTTATAAACCCTAGTTGAATTTTGACCTCTCTAAAACCCTACAAACAGTATTGCCTGAAAAGTATCACATCTTAGAATTTTCAGCAGCACCTAAAAGAGTAAAAGTGTACCATCGGTCAGCGAATCAGGTGTGGGTTGTACCAAGACTTGTGAGGATAACTCCAAGCATCTTCCAGTAAGTCTTCCCAATAGTTTTAATTAATTTTCAGTATTATTTTTTATTTTCTGTGAATTTTCAGGAACTTGTTTTATATTAAAAATTATAATAGAAGTTTGTTTAAAGCTTCTGGATAGCTTCTATTTCTTTTGGCAGTGAAAATAAACATCCCAAGTTGTATCCAGGGTATTGTTTTAATTTATAACAATATTTAGTGGCCCTTGTAATTGGAATTCAGGTATTTTGAATAAAAGCAAAAGAAATTTTTTTAATTTGATACCTTGAGTTTTACATAGCCAATTATTTTAGTTCTGGAGGTGGTGGGGGGGGCCTAAGAGATCATAGATTAGGGAGCCTATGGATTCTTTTTTGCCCCAACCTGACCCTGCTTGCAAGTGAGAAAACAAAGAAGCAAACAACTATTGAAAACATTATCAATAAGTAAAAGAGAGAAAGAATTGCTTCGTATATTGCTCGGTTTATGAGGCGAGCATCCTTTTAGTGTCGCTCGCCTAAGCAGCTTCTAGATCTTGGTAGAGGCAATTGGTCAAATTGGGCTTAGGTTGAAGCCCCCGACACCATATGAGCGCTTTCAGAGCCTCTTTTGAAAAAGAGGTGAATGTCATGAGGAAGATTGTGGAATCATAGAAGGATGCATGGGCTTAGTATGGGGTTTTTGTTATGACTGATACTTGTAGTAACAAGAAGAGAAGAAGTCAAATGAATTCGTTGGGGAATTGTCCTTTAGGGACTATTTTTTTTAGGTATATTGGCACCTTTGATGATAACCATGATGCCCATTACAGATTTAAAATAATGGAGAAGGGCATCAAGGAGGTTGGATAGCAGCATGCTATACAGGTTGTCAAAGATGATGTTGCTCCTAATGGTATTGCTGCTAATTTATTGCGCATAGCTTACCCTCATATCTTTTGAACACCATGTATAGTACACTGTATAGACCTCATGCTTGAGCCTATTGGAGGTTTGAGGGAGAATGCAGGTACAAGTAAGCAGGTTAGGTCAGTTACAGCTTTCATTTATAGCCACACCCTCACCCTCAACATGATGTGCAGATTTACAAAGAAGGAGATGGTGAGGCCAAGGGTCACAAGATTTGCTATTCGGTACTATGTCTAGTTAGCATAGATTAGAGGAGAGTTCAGTTGAGATCAAATGTTCACCACTGATGATTGGACGACACGCAAGTGGGCTCGAGATCAAAAGGGAAGAATGTGAGAGACTATCGATGGACTCTATGTTATGTATTCTTAATGTGTATTGTTTATATGCTTCAATATGCATTTTTCAGTTCTTATACAGAATCTATTGCTAAAACAGTTGGATCAGACACCCTCCTATGCTTTTTATGTTACATAGGCCGCCCAAGTTCTAGGCAGCCACTTAAGCGCGCGCCTAGGCACTGGGCGACGTGGACCCCCCGGAGCCTGGCATTTTTTGGAACACTACCTGAAAGCATCCAAGCTATTCAAGGCCACTGTCAAGACATAGTAGAGATAGAGAAATACAAAAATGAAAGAGTTAACGTCATCATTGGAAAGAAAAGAAATTAGTTCTATTGATTCTCACATTAATACGAATAAAAAACAAGAGCAAAGAACATGAATAAAAATAGAATACAAAAGGATAAGCATACTGAATATTTAAACATAGTTTGTTTATGTCATAACCCCCCACATAGAGGGTCATCAAACATCCATTATTGCGGATGGAAGGTGGAGCTGAACACTTCTCTAACTTGAAAGTCCACAATTTTTTATTAAATGAAATATGGTTCATCTCCACGATCTGCCCACAAGCAGGATGGTGGATGGCCCTTGTAAATAGGATATGCCATATGCCAATATCCTATAAACACTGGATATACTGTATAGTATATGCACCCCTGAAATAAAGGTGGGGTTTTGTACCGCGGTCTTTTTCATTTCCATGAGGCGACTACTAAGATCATCAATCTCCGCAATCAATTTGGCCTCCTTAGATTGACGAAGCTCCTCATGTGCTAACTGCATGTGTGTAATCCGATCTTGGAGGTCACTGATAGTCGCTTCGTAGACTGTCCTTTGAGACTGCATCAATGCTTCGTGAAGTTGCTTTTTTTCTAACATCTGAATTCTATGGCGATCAATTTTCTCAGAAAGTCGTTGAGCCTGTAAGAACAGTTAGGCTTAGGTAGGAACAACCTGCTACTGATTCAAAAGAGCTCTCTTTACAAAGGCCAAAAAGATTAGGTAGGAGTAAAAAGCTATTAATTTGGGAGACTACTCTTTATATAAAGCTTCTAGGCAGTTAGTGTAGAGCAATTCTTTTAGATAGGTAAGTATATTTTCTGAGAAGCCTTTCATATAAAAATCATGAAATGATGCTAATTCAAGAGATTACTCTTCACATATAGCTCATGTGCAATTTACATGAGCGATATTACAATAATGATTTCAGGTAAATGAGTGTATTGCATAAGAAGACTTTCTCATATAAAAATCATGACATGCTATTGATTCAAGAGACTACTCTATTAGTATTATATATAGCTTGTGGCCAGTTTACATCAGAGAGTATATTATAATTTGGTTTATACTTTTATATGAATGAGTTTGTTGCATGGGAAACCTTTCTAAAAACATTATGACTGAAATATATTCAATAGAAAACTTTTTACATATAGCTAGTAGCCACATATGTCAGAGATTGTATTTTAATTCTTTTATCGAGGAGAGTGTGATGTAAAGAAAACCTTCGTATGAAGCATCCAAGACATGCTAAGGGCTCAAAAGCATTGCAGTTCATATCAGAGAGTGTATTGTAAATGTTTTACATAAATGGGCATATTGTAATTGTTTTATCTCAAATCTTATCCCTTGGAAATTAATTTATTCCTCACAAGTCCTATCTCCTTTCTTCTTTCTCCCCCCGCCCAGTCCCACTATTTCCCCAACCTCTCCTCTCTCCTCTTCTCTGCATAAAAGCCTTTAGTCTTTTTCCCTTTTCTGTCTCGTCTCTTTTCCAGTTTAACTCCCTTGTTCTGATGTGACTCGCCCACCAGCAATAAATAGGAACTCTCTCCATCGAGTACGTTTCTCTCCCTTCTTTCTCTCTAAAGACATTTCTCAAACAAATAGCTTGCTATATCATTTCTCCAAGCAGTTCTCTCTTTCTCCCACTATCTCTTTATTAATGACCTCCATGTCTCTCCATTTCCATACACACATCTCTCTCTCTCTCTCTCTCTCTCTCTCTCTTTCTCTCTGTGCGCGTGTGAGTGTGCACACTACACCTCTATTTAGTTATGCTCTTGTCTCCAAAGGCATTAAGCAGGGAGTGAACTTGGTCCAAAGCACTTTCAGCCCCAAATATACCACTGTTAACCTGCACTTAATTTGGCTGGTTTGATCACGGAGGCAGCCATGGGACTACAATGGGTAAGAGGATATGTAGAAAGGCACTAAAGAAGGGGAGGGGCAGAAAGAGAAAGGGAGGAAAGGAGAGGTAAACAGAAAGAATACGAAGGAGATGAGGACGCAACAAGTGCGCGTCATGAAAGGACTCCAGGAAGAAGCTCTGGCTAATTCGTGCCAGCAGCCGCGGTAAGATGGAGGCGGCAAGTGTTCCTCAGAATGACTCGGTGTAAAGAGCACGTAGACAGTGAATCGGGTTAAAAGTGAAAGTCGCCAAAAAGGTTGTCACTGGTATCATTGTCTCAATCAACATACATGGAAATCTTCACAACGAGAAGAGGAGAGACAAATCAAATATCTGGAGGCATAGATATATATTGGTGATTTTCAAGGAAAAAACCGGGAAAAGTTATAAATAGCCCATTTAAAAAAAGAAAGAAAACCAAATGGCCTGTCATCACAAGACTCATGCTACACCAGTTACACCAAAAGAACATGCCTTCTCTCTTTCTCTAACAATGAAGAGCGAGAGCGTGTGCGTGCGAGAGAGAGAGAGACCACGATGCTACCACTGATCTACACCCCATGGCCTTCTCCATTTCTCCCTCAAAAATGACTTTCCTCCCTTTCTCTTTCTAAAATGACCTTTCTACCTAGGGCACTGCAACTCTTACTGGCCAAAAGCCTACTGATCTGACAATGCCATGTGCAAACCCAGCCATTGATCACCTCAGGTTCTCTAAGGACCAGAAATGGACAGCGTGTAATTACACTAAGCGCAAAAGGGGCCTGGTTACTTGGCTGAATTCTCTGGTTTCTAAACTTGTTGCAATTTCTATGTTTCTTCGCAGACTAAATTACCAAATTTTTTATCCCACCCCAATTTTTTTATCCCACCCCAATTTTTATCCAATCCCAATTTCAATACAACTCTTTGCAACATCTATAATCCATGGTCACACAGAATTCAGTCAAGTCAAAGGAAGACTCGTTACAAAAGAAAGAGAATTGTACAGAAAAGTGTCCATTAAGGCCTTGTTCACAATTTATCATGCCACTTGAAACAAAAGAAAAGAAGTGGTTTTCTTTTAAATGCTGGATTTGAGGGGGCGTATATGATAATTTCTCTAATACCAATGTGAAGTAACTAATTTTTTTTAATAATCCAATGTGAAGTAACTATTTCCATTTACATCATAAGAATGTGCAAATCAATCATCACATAGACTTTCAAAGGCAGAAGGAGACCAAGCCTAAAAAAAGAGAGAGAAAAATGAGAGAGGAAAATAATTCAAAGACCAAGCACAACCATAAATGGAATCTATAAACCGGCTCTCCATACCAGGACTAATTAAATATATAAGATCACATATACAATAAAATATAGAGCTCCTACCTATATATATGAAGTTAGCCAAAATGAAGTAAAAAATACACGTAGCTACATAGGCAAAGAAAACTCATACAAATTAATATATCAATAAAAGTCTGAAAGCACTTTTGCTAAATTGTTCATCACAAGCTAGCAGCTTGATGGGAAGAAAGTCAATGGATAATGCACACTCAATTTGTTATTATGAAGCAGCAGGGGGCAGATACAGGGCACAAAGATAGACAAATCCATGTCTCTAACAAGCTTTATTTCTGACTGAATGATATCTTCTAAGACATGATCCATGCAATCGGGAAGGTACAACATTTTTAATCTTTTGTTTTTGGGATAGGTTAGGAGCTCAACTAGAAACAAAGATGTGGTGCTCCAATTGTAAACACTTAACCACTCAAGCCCATGCCTTAATCACATCCGAAATTTGAAAATCAAATATCAAACAATCAAAGGAGCACTTTGACCAGGCTTTGGCTGTATTCTATAGAAGATAGATCAGTAAAAATGATTACAATTGCAAAAATGTTCCAGAAGGGGACACCTAACTCCATTTTGAAATAATATTTTGACAAAAATCTCATTGTGAGGATTGGCCCTGAGAAATCACCCCACAAGCACAACAACTCAAAGAGTTAGAGAGATTTAAAGAAGTAAAAATTTAAAACCTGCTTTGCAGAACTTATAAGGCACACATCCTCAAGGTTCTATAAATATCAGAGTAAGAAGAATCAACCAAGTTGACTTAGACAACGACCGAGGTACTCGAACTTGGCAGCTTTGCTAAGGCAAGTACCTGGGTACAAACTCGAAAATCTAAAAAAACCATAAAGATTATATGTTCTGTTAATCATTACATGAAGGGTGCAGTTGGCAAACGGATGCATCTGTAGCTATAGAGGCAAGGTGCACCTTCAAATGTTATCATGGTATATAATTTTGATGTAAACTGCTCTTAGGATTATCTCAAAATCTATTTTTATATCTAATTATAAAATTTTAAATTTCAAAAATGGTTAAAATCAAGTACATCTATAAACATATGAAAATCTTGAAAATGGACGGTGTAGACAGTATGTTGTAAAATGCACTATTTCTGAGACTTAAAATCTTTTTATTTTTCATGGTCATACATCTCGATGTCGAGATGATCAATCGAACGGTTTTTCAACATTAAAACCACCTTTTCCGATGGATTTTTGAGGTTCTACATTATAAGGTTGCATCCTTGTATAAACTTTTTCCTTACATGAAATAAGTGCCATAAATATGTTTGGATATAGTTTTGCCATTTTTAATGATGATTTGAGAGTTTTTCTTATTATATGCTCTATATTTCTATTTTCTACTTTTTTGGATATTCCATAACTATTTCATGCTACAAATCAACTTTTCCCAAATTACAGCTTCTATATAACTTTTTTCCATCTTTTATAGACGTTTAATTCTTTTTTTTCTTTTACTTTTTTAAAAGATTTTTTCTTATTATATGCTCGATATTCCTATTTTCCCCCTTTTTGGATATTTCAGAACTGTTTCAAGATACAAATCAATTTTTTCCAAAATTACATTTTCTATATAATTTTTTTCCATCTTTTATAGACATTTTACTCCTTCCCTTTTTTTTACTATTTTTAGAATTTTAGTACATTTTAAAAATTATTTTGTATTTATTCATTAGCTCATTTTAGTCTCGTACAGTACTCGAGGGAGGGACATGTGATATAGCACAATATGTATAGTTTAAATTTTTTTCTTTCTTTTATTCACACCGGCTAAAAGACTTACAGACATCCAAAATTACAACTTTATTCATAAAATAAACTCTAATACAATCTAGGATCTTCTCTTGCATACCATTGCAATTCTATACAATGAAACAAAAATCCAATGCCTGAAGAATCGAGAAAAATGGAGCCATTAGAATTACCAAATACCTTATTTCAAGTTACCCTCAAGGACTTCGTATGCCCCACACCAGGCCTCCTCCACCGATGATGGCCCCTGGGATCTTGGTCATTCTTGAATCTCAATGAATGGAAACATTGGCTAAAAACCTTTTCACTCAAAATACAAGAGCACAAGTTGTAGGACAGGGCCTCTCCTTTATTTACAAGCTTGGGGTGTGCCCCTTATGTTTGATCTACTTGGGGCGTGCCCCCTTTTCTTTTTCTATCTTTTAGAGAGTATGAGACTACTAGGGGCGTGCCCCCTTTTCTTTTGCTATCTTTCAGGGAGTATGAGCGAGAGATGAGAGTAGAGAGAGAGTGGCATGCCACCCTAAGAGAAAGAGAGAGAGAGATCAAGTTAGGGAGTGTAGAGATTTGACTCCCAATGAGGTGTATTTATGCTAGTAAGGCTAGGGTTTTAAGGTCTAGCCATCTTTATGGAGATTCGATCTTGACCGTAGATCATAAGTGACCCGTGGTTTGATAGATCTTAGTCATACAATCATTTGACCACCATCATGATCTAAAGGAAGGTGCTAGAACATTATCCCTCAGTTTCCTTAACCTAATCCCATCAAATATTTTGTGTAGAAGAAATATACTATGTATTTCTTTTTAATTTCAATTGATCTCTACACCTTCCTTTTATTAAATCAATTAACCTCTTCCATAAAATTTTCTATTTCATTTTCAAATCAATTAGATGGCTTACTCAAGAAGCCACATAATATGGAAACAAGAAAATGTGAATGTGGGGAGTCCCACTTATGGAGACCATAGTGAGCCCCATGCCCCCATCTAGATAGGCCTAATGTGCTGGGCCCTAATAAATTTTGGGCCCCTACAAACTCAAATAAATCTAAAATAAATAAAATGATTTTTAAAAATGCACAAGTATTTTAGCTTCAAAAAAAAATATATAAAACTATTTTATTTTTTTCTCTGAATATTTAAATACCTGAAAATTCAGTTTTAGCTAATTTAAAAATCAATTTTAATAAAATAAAATATCTAAAGACTTCTACAAATATATTTCAATGTTCTAAAATTATTTAAAATTATTGTGATGGGAATCAAATCCAACTTCGTCAAGGAAAATGCGAATACACTGAGGCACTCCATCTCTACTAGTGATCATGTCCCACATTCACTTTCTCAAACTGACCCAATAGTTTTCATGATTGGACCATTAAAACCAGCCAATAGGTAATGAGAACACAGTCCTAGTCTATGGACTACAAGTTCCCCCCAAGGGATAAACCTAGGTCGCACAAACCATGCACACTCATTGCAATTGGTGCATGGAGGCTATCTCTCGCACATGTACATGTAACACCCTCAATGGTGTCTTCTTCTCATTACGGCTATCATATGTACATGCCGTGTAATAGGAATTATGAGGCTTTGGCCCTTGTCCCTTTAGGCCCACCTAGCACACACAAGAGTCACACAGTCCCTTGGCTTACCACTCTAGGCATCTCTCCAACCTCATCAAAGGCTAACCCTAAACCCTTTACAGTTGTGCCTCATGCCCAGAGATAAAGGGTTTTAAATTCAACCCAGCCTTGCGCGTTAAGCCTAGTTTGAGGTTTGGCACCAAAATTTCCATCTTTGGTCCCTTTGGACCATAATCCTTTGGTCCCTATAAACCATACTCGCACGGGAGTAATCATATCACTATAGTCATCGGTTTACATTCTCTCGTAAAGCCTTTAAATGGCCATATAACCCCAATACTCGAGCTAGCCCACTCGGACACACCTGAGTTACAACATGGGCAGGGGCAGAAACCCGAGCCGCAGTCAACTTTTTGCCATTGATAAATATGTATAGCCTATTTTGCCCAACTTTAAAAGTGTAAATAGGTCTCATTCATCCTCCCAATGTTAACCTAGTAAGATCAAGTTAAATATTTAGATGGAAGCCAAAAACTATACAAGGGCCACAAGAGAATTATGTAATTATGTAACAGGAGAAAATGATTTCTAACTTAATCGAAGATCAATTTAGAAGAAAATGCAGACCTGAAGCCGAACAAATATAGATAACACCATTGGAAATGTATTTCTAAAATGGAATGTTTTCAAAATAAACCAGAAAAAACACAGAAAACAGAAGAACAAGTGTGTTTGTGAAAGTGTTTTAGGTGTCTTGCAGCCTCAAGAGAGAAAACTGCATTCTATTTGAGATCCTAACTATTCTGGTAAGTTGACAATCATGATGGCCGGGAAAGGACATTATATAAAATGAGAGCTCACCTCAAGCAATACATTAAGATCCTAGCACGTTGCATTTTTCAATAAAATGGCAATACCTGCAACTTAAGAGATTCATTTTCAACCTGAAGAGCAACCACTTGCTGCCAATCAACAAAAAAATAAGTAACATCAATAAAACAAAAGTAAGAATACAATTTTCCTCGGGCAAAAAGTTCAGACTAGCTTGAGATACATAATTTAGTTACTATGAAACTGGGCCGACTGTGACTGTCTAACCTGTTTGCAATCTCCGTCAGCAGTGGCAATACGTGGGGCATAGAGCTTTGTTATATCTTTGACTTTACACTTCTTGTTGCACTGTGGACACTGTCAACAACCAAATGTAGGCACATTGAATAAGTAAATGAACTATTAGTGGCCATACCACAGGAAAGGCAATTGTTTCCTTCACTTACACAACAAAAGTACTACCTTCCCATCAGATTTCCCACATCTTTGAATCCATGTTTCTATGCACGAGTGTCCAAATAAGTGCCCACAAGGAAGACAACTGCCACACTCACAGAGTCACAGTTGGTCAATAAAACACCCAACACCGAACTTAATAGTACTCATTTTCTGTGATGCATAGAGCACCCTACTTGTGGGTTGCCATTTTTTAACTTCCATTTCTAAATCGGCCTCTTTATTTAATGTGACCATTAAATTTCATTTAAAAAATACAAAAGATAAAATAGTAGACAGTAAAAAAACACCAAATCTGCAAATGCAAATGAGTATCAAAACAGCTTTCAAACAAATTCATTATGCCTGGGATACAAAAAGTACCCCGACCATTGACAATAAAGGATATAAGAAAAATCAGAACCAGCAAATGAATTGAAGCTCCTGATCTTCCACACTGTTGTGAATACATAAGTTTCTTCTCTACATCTTTTGCATTTAAGTCCCTGTGAATAATTTTGTCATTTCCCTTAATGGGTAATTTTGTAATCAAACTTTTTTGCCGGCAATAAAAGTACATATAGTGGGGCTTGAGGAAATAAGGAGACAACCAAGACTCACTTTTCTCTCCCTCTTTCTCATGTGAATATCTCTCATCTCTCTCCCTCTCGCTCTCTCTAACCTTCTCTTCTCTCTCCAAATTCTTGATTTTCCTAACACTTTTTGATTCCTAACCACCTGGAGTGCTGTATTTTAATGTGGTATCGGAGCAAGGGGCTTCAGGATATGCTTTTGAAAACCTAAATTTGTGAAAGTCAGGTATGCACAGAAACCCCTAACTACTACAGGTTATTTTTTTCTATGAATTTCCTTTAGTTTCAGTGGATCGATAAAAATGCAGATCTGAACAATTGAGATGGGGCATCAAACCCCATTTTTCACGGACAACTGATCTGAAAAATTAGTGAGGTGTGTCAAGCCCTAATTTTTATGGATATTCCGTATGTGTGTCGACTTCACAAAAAACTCTAAAACTTATTGGGATCCAACTGTTTTAGGGCCCGATTTTGTGTAAAAACCAATGCATATTTAGACATATGACACATTAAGTGCCTAAGAAATTAACAGTACATAACACATAGTCCATCCATGGTCCATTACTCCATAATACATACATTTCAGAGCATTAGTCCATACTCCATAGACTCCACAAGCAGAGTAAAAATAAGAAAATATAAATCAACAATCAAAATTTTTTAATTCAGTCATCAATTCATCATCAAGAAAAGGTAAAAAATAACACGACATATCAACATCCACAGTTCACTATTCACATACATCGTCCATACTCCATATCCACAGTCCATACATACAGAAGATGAGCAAAAGAAAAAGGAACAAAAAGTTTTCATCATCAAAAAAGGTAGGGCCAGCTGAATCATATGCGTTGGAGTCGAGCCCATCATCATTGGAATCATCTCCCTCCTCAACATAATGGCCGTCCTCCTCTCTTCTGAATCTGCCTTTGCTTCCTCCTCTTCCTCCGCCACCCTCGTTCTCTATGAAGAAGATCTAGTGGCCCTAGGAGGCTCGGTCGCTATCCCAGAGGCCTCCATGACCATATCCCATATCAATGCTTCGTGCCCCTCAACCTCATCATAATCAACCAACCACTCTATGGCATTATCCATTTTTTTGATCTAAAGGGATCTCTCACATCTCTCTTCTCAAATCTCCCCTTTAAGTATCTATTGAACTTCACATAAGCTAGATCATTGAGCCTCTTTAAATCAAGCATGTTTCTTTTCTTTATATGTATCTGATAAAATCAAATAAAACTAATTAACACTACAAATTTATAATTGATATAGTAATCACTAACTACTAACTACTAATACAAATTACTAAAACTAGTAAACTATAAACTACTAAAATAGATTACCATCTCAAAAGTACTCCAATTCCGCTCACAGTCAGACTATGTAGTGGTTAGGCTCAAGATCCGAATGGCCAACTTTTGTACGTTTGGAGCACTACACCTATTGTGACTCCACTAATTGCCAGCAAATAGACTATGAAATACAATTATATATGAAATATGAAAAACAAACAACAAAGATGAAACTTGAACATGAGAATTGGGTTAAGTATATTATCACCTGGATCAATTTTGGTCTTTTGTCTCACCACCATTGGACTCCCAAAAGACTTCAATATGCACTTGTAACTTATTAGCTCATCAGCGCCTAAAATGTTTTAGATATCCTAATTAGGGACTAGCACATCCAGACACTTATTAAATCGAGACATAATTGTGTCATTTGTGTATACGCCTAGCAGTATAATGAAAAGCTAGGTTCAAATAATAACCAGCTGCATGTCATGGTCGATGTAACTCCCTATCCCACTTCTCATCAATAATCTTCCATACTGGTTCACAACGGCTCACATCATTATCCAAATTGTGGGCTCTCTCTCTTGCAACTTTCAATTGCCTTGTATGTGTAACCCATGGAGGGCTTGTCACTGTCAATCATGTGAAGGACTTTGACAAGAGAAAAAAAATACCTTTAGAGCACCCTTCACAACTTGCCAAAAAGCCTTAGTTCGCACAATATCTCTCACCTTCTATTTCTGATTCCTAACCCACTTGTGTGCTCTCCAATCATCAGAGGTGAACATCTACCTCAACTAGACTCTCCTCGACAGTATGTTATATAGACATAAGTACCAAGTAGCAAATCTCGTGATCCCTAGCCTCACTATCTCCATCTTTATAAATCTGTGCTTCATGCTAAAGGTGAGGGTGTGGCTATAAATGAAAGTTGTAACTTGCACCTACAATCTCATCAAACCTCCAAAAGCCCCAAGCATGAGGTCTTTAAAGTGTGATGCGCATGGCGTCCAAAATATATGAGGGTAGGCTATACACAACAAATTAGCAGAAACAACATTAGGAGCAATATTATATGTGACAAGTTCTATAACATGGTGCTCCCCAATCTCCTTGATGCCCTTCTCAGTCACTTTAAATATATAATGAGCATCATGGCTATCATCTGAGGCATCAATAGACCTCAAAAAATAGTCCCTAAAGGAAAATTCACCAACAAATTCATCCAACTTCTTCTCTTCTCATCACTCTAAGTATCAGTCTTAACATAAACCCCATACTGAGCCCATGCATCCTTCTATGACTCCACAATCTCGCTCCTGACATTCACCTCTTTCTTCAAAAGAGGTTATGAAAGCTCATATGAGGTTTGGAGCTTCAACCCAGGCCCAAATTGGCCAATTGCCTCTACTAAAGTGTAGAAGCTGCTTAGACATTCAAAGGAATGCCCGCCTCATAAAACCAACGAGCAATGTACTGAGCAGTTCTATCTCTCTCTCTTCCTTCTTGATTTTATTTTCAATGGTTGTTTGTTTCTTTATTTCCCACTTACAACCTCAGAGTCAAGGTGAGGCAAAAAAGAACCTATAAGCCTCCTAACCCGATGCCTCTTAGGTTCCACACCCCTAGAACCAACTACAACTCCCTTTCCCCCTAGTCTGGGTCTGGGACATAAAAAGTTGTTTAATCTCATCACACCCCTCCTCATCACTATCATCATAATCATAATTAACACGAACCCCAGACCTTAGCTCTGCAACGCATGTCTCTATTTTCTCTTTTGCCTTTTTTATTACTCATAATTTTTTATCTCCAACCTAGTCGCATCAAAAGCTTTTTTACAAGGGGCAACATCCCCCTGATACCGGTAAGATGTTTCTTTAACCGATTTATACCCCCATTTGTATCCTTCTCACAATAATTGCATCCTAGAAAATTTTATCGAAAGGATTTAGGTTACAGTCATATTTCCAACATGAATCACCACTTCTATTAGAACTCGAAGAAAGCATCTCAAATTAATCTAAGTAATCTAAAAAACAAAAAAAAAATTCACTGACCTTGATTGCTCGATCTTCAAACTTCCACCTTTGAGATATTTCCCAATCTCAAAATCTTCTAAAAAACCCTCCAATAGGCCTTAAACATCTTTATAACTAAATCCAAACTCAAAGGGATACGTTTGGATCGATTTCTTCAAATTTCAACTTTTTGAAATTTTTCTCTCTAAAATAGTTTTAGGTTTTTAAAGCCTCAAAATAAAAATAAAAAAGGCGAAGCAGAGGCCCAAAGCACTTGTCTAGGTGGCCGCCCAGGAAACCCTCATCCAAGAAGCCCACCTAGGCCTAGACGATGCACATGCCCATCTAGGTGGGCTGCTTTTTAAATCAATGAGATGGAAAGTCTAGGTTGTAAATTCTTTAGAAAAAGTGTGTTACAAAATTACAGCTTGGCTCAGCCACATAACTTGGTCGTTGGCCTGGCAAAGTTGCTGGGGTGAGTTCCACTCACCTGAGGACAAGCCAACCAGCCAATGACCTAAAACCCAAAAAAGTTAACAGAAAGAGTTTATCAAAGATGAGAAAAGAGTTTTCAAATTGAAAAAAACAAAAGGAAACTGGTTAAAAACAGTCTTTCCAAAAAAATTCTTAAAAACATAAAACCATAAAAATTGTAAATAAAATACGTCAACCATAACTGACCCAACCAAACATTAGATCACTTAAAGATCAATTATAACTATCGTGTGCTGAGACTCACCTCAGCCAGGAACTTCAAACTTACACCCTGGCCAAGGTGAGTTACTCGGCCGAGTCCCTAGACTCAACCCAGTCTCATAGGGCTAAAAAACTCTCAATAAATTGAAAAACAATGAGAGAAACAAAAACGAAATATACTAAAAGCTAAATAAAATGAAAAAACAACTTTAACGAGTGCAAATAAGCTTATAAAGATACTGGAAAAATTGATTTAGAACAAACAGATTTATACTCGGGGAGGAATTAAAAAATCCAAAAAAAAGGTAATATAAAAATAGGAATTTATGGCAAAAAACACTAACCAATATTTTCCAAAAATGTGTAAATCATACATACAACTCGGGGAAACTTAGCCTCGCCCATAGGGCGAAGCAGAGTTACTCGACCGAGTTCGAGGGGACTCAATCGACTCCCAGCACCCTAATAACTATTTATATAGCAATTATATACGGTGGAGTTGGGAGTTGTCAAGGGCGTGTCGGGTTGGACTCACAGAGTCATAAAACACTGGATCATTGTATACAATGAGACCATTTACCTTTGATACAAGTTGGTCACAATTACTTACAACCATCCAATGTGAAATTTGATGCCTTGGGTGTGTCACAAAGTTTGACAAAATTTCTTTTAAAGTTTGAGATTGGTCAATGGAATAAATACAGCCACCCAATTTCACATCCAATGGTCAAGATTGAGATTTTCTAATCACCTTGTACCAAAGGTAAATGGTCTCATTCTATATTTTTCCAAAATTTTGTAGAGAAAAAGTGAACAATGGATGTCAAAAAGTTTAGATGCATGGTAAGAAAAGAGAAAAACAAAGGCAATAGCATGATGTTATAGGAAGCAAATTTGGAACATTAAACTCTAGGCAAAGTGGATGAATACTTTGTCAGCTAGTAGACCAAATCAACACAAGTTGGGATTGTATACTATGAGATCACTTATCTTTCTTACATGGAGGTCACAATTACACTTAACCATTAGATTACTCCTAATCAGCAGATGTCTAATGGGATGGCTTGAAGTGTGTAAAACTTTCTTTTGAACTTTGAGTCTTGTACAATCAGCTGATTTGAAAACTACCCAACTTAAAATCTGAAGGAAAGAAGTGAATAAGACATCCTTGTGTGCCAAAAGTAAGTACTATCTTTGTATACTTTTCCATTTGACAAAATCCAAAAATTCTTCAACAAACTCTTTGGCTGCTCCAACCAAAGAGGCTATGCTCTGGCCAAGAAGTGAAACCTTCTGTCTCCCAAAGAGAATATGTGGATGGTCTTTGAATCCCCAATCAGTAAAAAGGTCCCCAAATTTTATGAAAGTTTGAAGCACAGAAATACGTCTCTTTGCATCATCCAAGAGATACAGTGTTTATGTGGACATTGTAACACGTTAGTGTTTTTCTGTGGACTCTGTAATAAGTTGAGAGAGAGAGAGAGAGAGAGAGATTCACCTCATATTCAGAAAAGACCATGCCCCAATTACATAAAACATGAACAACAAAATCTCAGAAAGAGAAAAGGACGCCAAAACCCCCAGGTTCTAAGGTTTTGTACCAGATCCTATGAGCATCACCAGAGCTCCACGGCTCCATGCAAATAGGGCAGGAAAACAAGTCCAAATCACCCATGCTCTTCTCCATCCCTCCGAAACTATCTCCGCATGTCCCCTCCTCAAGGTTCCCCATATCCCCTCTACGCCCCAGCAATCCATCACAAGAAGCATTCTCATGGCTCCCTTGCCCTAATTCTCCCTCAAACGCACCAAAAATTTCAACACCATCTTCTCCATATTCACTAGGACCAGGGCTTCGAAGCCTTCTTCTTCTTCTAGGGGGCGACGAGGCACCACTACTTCGAAGGTCCATAGAAGAAACATTACTCGCCATTAGAGCTCAAAATCACTTACGATGAAGGTCTGGAAAAGTGAACATCGTCTTTAGTGGAGACCAAATCTAAGGCGTGAAAAAGTTTCTTGATACCTTCCCGCTATATAAGGGCACCATTTTGAACCAGAGCAGAGGGGAAAGTGTAACCGTACGCAACATGTGCAGGTTCCATGTTGCCATATAACGTGCACCAGTGGTGTACAATATACTCTGCAAGAAAGGTGCTCCACAAGGCCGAAGTCCAAACTTGCTTGCAACGTTCCTCCATCGACTCTTTTGTCTCTCTCCCTCAAAGCAAATTGTGGATGAGAGACAAATTATTGTAAAGGCAAATGAATTTTATGATTTTATCACGTCTGAACGAGGTTCCAACATTAGTGTACCTCCCAACTTTATTATGATATGCAATTTTAGGGTTGCAATTTTTTTACGATGGTTGGAGAAACTATTTTTATCTCTAACCACACAAAAAATAAAATGAAATTGGGTAATTCAGTGGAGAAGACATCCCATACCCGTTTTTTCATTAGATTGCGGAGTTACATTCAGTATAGAGCCCAGGCTCTAAACAATCAAGATAGAGTGCACATTCAAATAGTGTCGAGAAACGTGGTTTCAATATTGAAAATCTTTGTGATAGCCTTAACATATATTTGCATCTCTAATTAAGTTTACTAGAAGAGGCAGTATACAATGAAATGCACGTTCATCAAACACTTTATAGTAAAATGATTTCATCAAACACCTTACAGTACGACAACGAATGCACACGTATTTGTTTGATCTGAATAGTTAAAGATTTGTTGTATTCACATGGATGAATTTTGTCGGAAAAAATAAAATTTCAAAAACACACGCAAAAGACTGATTTTTTAACCTAATGAAATATTTGTTTGATCTGAATATCTAAAGAATCATTGTTGTCATTTGGATAAACCATGTTATAAAATAAAATAAAATTTTGAAAAAACACCCTAAAGAATGATTTGTTAACCCAATGAACGTATGCTCTCCATTTGATGAGATGATTAGATCTACAAAGATTTTCTTATTTCAAATCTTTTAACAACCTTATCATCATAGTATTAACAATTGTAGAAAAGAAAATTTTATTTTAAGTTACTCAGAGATGGTATCATCTACAAGAAGTTATTTAATAGAGTCCTCCTCAGATGCATTCATCAACTAGAAATCAATGTGGTACCAAAGAACTATGCGATGACAGAGAACATGCAAGGAAAGTGCTCCTAGCACAGAAACTCTGACATAAAGGATATTATTGGATAATCATGTCCGAAAACTATTGGAGATACGTCAAAAGGTATACTAAGTTTCACATCTATAAGGGACCATTTGAGTACCTGGAGAAGCCTGTCCTGAGATTAAGCTTCTCCTAGAATTGGGTTATCCTGGAATTGATCAGTCCCTGGGATAGGGGTGTCTGCTGTTTGGATAGCACCTGATAAGAAAAATGAAATATGCATGTACACTGTTTTGATTACCTAGATGATGTAAATCCATGGATATTCAATTGCAGTTTTTATATTATTACCCTACATTGGATTTTATACTGATTAACTTCTCCCATTGATTCTAAACTTCAATATTACTTCTTAACTAAGATGAAATCCTTATTTTCTTTCTTATTCCTTTCCATTGTATCATTATGTATAGATATCTTACATTCCAAATATTCTATTAGGGTACGTTTGGTTCGTGCATAAAATATTCCCCGAGAAATATTTACATACATAAATCGTGTTTCATACGTTTGGTTCGTGCAAATGCATATGCAAATAAAATGCCATGCTAAAAGCTTTTACCCAGACATGGTCTAATTCATTGTAAATAAAACCACATCCATTGAGGTGGGGAAACATTCCCCATGCATTTGTTTTCACATGCGAATCCACTATTTACCATTCATTATTCACTATTTACAATATAATATATTATGGACATGGTTAGCATGAGGGTCAAGCAAATGTGGTGCCTCTTAAGAATCTATTTTTGAGATGGATTTTTTTACTAAATTTTTAAGGTCATGTAATCTCTAACATGGAGATCTTGAATATGAAAAATAAATAAATTTTGAAAACTACAAATAATAACTTTATTAATAAAACATTTGGACGATTAGTTTCTAGGGAAAATATCTTTATACACCCTAATTTGGTGTATCCTTTCTTTGTAAACCCTCACCTTTGATTCCTATTAACCCAAGCATTTTGCTTTTTGTTAACTTTTTTGCCCTAAATAAATATATGAAGGACATCCACGCCCAACATTTCATTGGTTTTCACTCATTTCCTCACTATTTCTCTCTCACTACTCTCTCTCATGCCTTCTTTCTCTCTCACTGCTTTTCACTCGTTTCCAAACTCTATCTCTCTCTCATATCACCGTCTCTATCTCTCAAAATTCCATCTCTTTTTAAAACCCAAACTCCATCTCTCTCTCTCTCTAAAACGCCATCTCTCACTCACATCACTGTCTCTCTCTATCTTCAAAGGAGGAGCTCAAGTTACAGATGGTTGTCTTGTGAGTCAGATTTTTGGTAGGAAAACCTGCTAGAACGTTCAAAATTGGTCTTAAAGTTGCAGAGGATGTCTCTTTGTTGGTTTGTTTGTTTGCCAGAATTTGATTTTTGTCCGGAATCTTCAAACGAGGTGTTGAACTCACAGTGGTTTTCTCTTTGTGGGTCAGATATTTTGCTGGAATTTGATGTTTCGTCCTGTGATTTGGTCACATTCTTCAAATGGGGTGTTGTTGAAATGGGTGAAATCTTGGTTTCTTTGTTCAATGTTTTGAAGGGAAACTTCATCGGAATCTAATTTTATACCGGAATCTTCACATAAGGTGTTGAAATTGTAGGGCTCTTCATTTTGTGGGTCAGATTTTGCACCCGAAATTTCACCGGAATCTTCAAAGAGGGTATTGAAATTAGAGAAGATCTCGTTTTGTGGGTCAGATTTCCAACTATGAGTAAAAGATGGGGTTCTTGGGTATCTACACCATGAGAAAAACCAAGAGCTTTTTGAGTGGTTTTGAGACCGAAAATGGTGGTTTTCAGGTGAAAATTGGTGGTTTCAGTAAAAAATTGGTGGATTTGGGATGAGAATTGGTGGTTTTGGTGTGAAATTCAGTGACTTTGAGGCGAAGGTGGATCATTATTCGTGGTTTTTGTGAGCTTTGATATGTAAAAATGGAGGGTTTTCTGCAGGTTTTTTGGTATTTTTTCAGTAAAAAATTGGTGGATTTGGTATGAGAATTGGTGGTTTTGGTGTGAAATTAGGTGGTTTTGAGGCAAAGGTGGATCATTATTTGGGGTTTTTGTGAGCTTTGATATGTAAAAATGGAGGGTTTTTTGGCATTTTTTTCACGATTTTTGGCGCTTTTATAAGAGCTAGAAGATCAACAAGGGAACGTTTTAGAGAGATATAGAGTTTTGAGAGAGAGAGAGAGAGAGAGATGGAGTTTTAGAGAAAGAGAGAGATAGAGTTCGGGTTTTAGAGAGAAAGATGGAGTTTTAAGAGAGACAGTGATGTGAGATAGAGAGATGGAGTTTGGAAATGAGTGAAAACTATTGAGAGAGAAAGAGGGCTTGAGAGAGATTAGTGAGACAGAAATGATGGGGAAACGAGTGAAAACCAGTGAAATGAAGCCAGAGAGAGATGTTGGGTGTAGATGTCCTTTATATATTTATTTAGGGTAGAAAAGTTAATAAAAAAACAAAATGTTTGGGTTAATAGGGATAAGGGGATTAGAAGATAGATTTTTGGAAAAGTTAATGCCGCCCAATAAACTTCAAACGTGAGGGTCTACAAAGAAATGATACACCAAATTAGGGTGTACAAGGATATTTTCCCTAGTTTCTATTGTTTTTTAGATGGACCACCAACTTGCATCCTTCTTAAAGATGGACGCTTTACACTTCTAGACCGCATATATAGAAATGCGGTCCAGCCCACATGAAATAATTATTCATTTATTGTTATAATATTTTATTTACATATAAATTATATACATAAAATATTTTGCAAAATTAATATATAATGCAAAAATATTTTATATAAATAATATATTATATTATATTATAGCATATAACATTAGAAAAAATATATAATATTAAAGTACAATACATAAATATATTATACATACTATATACATATATAATATTATATAATGTATATATTATAGTATTATATCATATTATATTATATGTATTATATATTTATATTTATTTTATTGATGTAATCTATTATTTTTAATATATATTTATTATGTATAATATATGTAATATATGATATTTATATACTATATATTATATACAATATATATATTATACAAAGAGGAAATATAAAATATTATAGTATAATACATAAATATATTATACATATCATATGAATATATAATAAAATATGATGCATATAATTAGTAGACGAAATAACCAAATTAGTAGACCACCTCTAGACTTAGAAGTTAGAACACTTTGTCTACCTGAAGGAACACTATGATAAAGTTGTGGAAGATCAAGATTCTGAACATTAAACTTACCATGAAACATTGTCTTGTTTTGAAAAAGAATATTGGATAGAAGCCATGAAAGATGAATTTGCTTCCATTAACCAAAACCATTTTGAGAATTAGTACCACTACCTAAAAAACGTAAAGCCATAGGTTATAAGTGGATTTTTAAAAAAAGTTAAACTTGGAAGGGAAAATAGAAAAATACAAAGCTAAGTTAATTACCAAGATATTTATCCAAAAGGGATAGATAGATTATGATGAGACCTTTTCTCCTATAGCTAAATACCCATCTATCTAAATTTTTATAGCCATAGCGCCCTATTTTGATTTTGAGATACATCAGATGGATGTCAAAACAACATTTCTAAATAGAGATTTAGAAGAAGAAATCTACATGAGTCAACCCGAGAGATTTGAAAAAAAAAAGAAAGGGAATCTTAGTGTGTAAGCTTAACAAATCCCTCTATGGCGTAAAACAAGTATTGCATCAGTGGTACATAAAATTTCAAGAGACCCTTGCCTTTACAGGGTTCTCTACAAATAATGAAGACTACTGTATCTATCAAAAGATTAGTAAGAGTGATGTGGTTTTTATTTCCTTATATGTGGATGATATGCTAATTGTCAGTAGCTCGACTTGCCCTAGTAGTAGAGATGAAAACTTTCCTTACACAATATTTCGATAAGAAGGATATTGAAAAAGATTCATATGTGTTGGACATCAAGTTAATAAGAAACAAAAAAGAAAAAACTATCAAACTTTCTTAGGCAATCT